CAGTATCTGTAGGTCGAAGGCACCAATGTCGGCCCACTAGTTATGATGTAGTGTGATGATTGTCTTTGTGACAATTTTCAGTCATGTCTGTATTTGCTTGATGACTCTGTGATTTTCTGTTATGATATTATGTGGTAGTAGTAGGGGGTGAAATAGACTCGGCATCCGGTTGAAATAAACTGAAGGGGATTACAAGTACCCAGATATGCTTGATAGTATCCGGTTGAAATAGACCGAAGGGGTAGGCAAGCACTCAGATATGCTTGATAGTATCCGGCTGAAATACACCGAAGGGGTAGGCAAGCACTCAGATATGCTTGATAGTATCTGACTGAAATAGACCGGAGGGGTAGGCAAGCAACTAGATATGCTTGGCAGTATGTATGTTTAGTATGTGGTGTTTTGGGGAAACTCACTAATCTTTGTGCTTACAGCTTTCAGTTTATGTTTCAGGTACTTCCAATTCGAAGGGGAAGGGTCCGGTCTGATCGCACCACATCACCCTACGATTTCTACATTTAGAGATTCGAATTTGTACTCTGATAACATTTGATTATGACACTATGTTAACTATTTTGATATTAGTATTGTATGAATTGAATGGATTTTAAAAACAAAATTTTATCTGTACTTTTGGGATGTTACAAACATTTTTTTCATTTAATTAATATGACATAATTTTTTTTAACGACACACATTTCATATTAAATAAAAATGATTACAATCATTTAAAGCACAATTTAATACTACTTAAGACCTAAAACACTATTTAATACTACCTAAAACATAATTTAAGATGACAATTTAATACTACCTAAACAACCTAAAACTTACTTTAGACATAAAACACGATTTACTCCTAGTTATATTGTTTTTCAAGGTCCTGTCTTACATTGTTGAACACTCAGCCATCATCCTCAGACAAGTTTTTCCCCGGTTTTAACCAAAGCTTCAATGCACGGTTTCTTTCTTTTTCCTTTCCCGATTCAAAGAAAGCATCAAGCTTATTTTCCAACCTTCGGATATCGTCCCTAATCTCCTCCACTTCAGTCGACGAGCTTTGAGCAACTTTGTGCTTTCTTTTTTGCTTTATTTCGTCCCATAGGACGAGTTGGAACTTCATATGGCTCATCATTGTTGAGGTCAATCCCTCCGATACACGCATCGGAAGATTGATTTTGGGCAGACTCCAAAGTTTTCCTTCGTTTGGACATCCCCGCGTACTCATCAAGACTTTTTAGATCTAGCCATTTTCGATTGCCCTTCACAACTCCCCAAAACGACTCACTGGCAAAAGCTCTTCCGACTTTTGCCTTGTAAATCTGACGAACTTTTGTCATGACATCCACCTCAATTGCACCGCTTTGGGGGTTGCCGATCACGTTCAGGTAGATGTGTTGAACTCCATTGCGGCTCGGTTGGCAGTCCTCCATTTCGAGTAAAGTGAATCGGGATTATGGTACTTCCTTTTCATGCGTTGACAAAAATTAAGCCAAACTTTTTCTTTGAAGGTTGTTGAGTCTTGGTTGTTGTCGTGGATCGGGTCCTCCGACACATCTAGCCATGATTGCGCTAGTGCCTTCTCTTCATCATTTGTCCACCCTCTACATGGAGCCCTCCCTTTTACTTTTTTTGTACTTGTGGTTCGACTTCGGGCTCTTGAAATGACTCTTGAACGGGATCTTTAACGGGGCCTTCATCGGAAGAATCGGTTGACTCGTCAAGTAAACGACATGGTTGGGATTGAAAATTACTTTGCAGTTGAGGTTAAAAAAAGAATTGAGTTTCTTGAACCATTTCAAATGGATCAAGATCGACATTAGGATGAAGTGTTGGTTGAGATTGGTTTTCGTAAAATGTCATTGGTTGAGAAGAGAACGGATTGAATGGAAACATTTGCGGAGTCATTATAGGAAAGTAGTAGCTAGCGGGAGAGTGAATAGGTTGATCAAATGATGGTCGATCACATGGTGATGGAACGGTTGGTGATGGAAGGTTTGGTGATTGAGTGTTTGGAGGTGGAAGATTTAGCGATGGAAGGTTTGAAGCTTTCAATTTGTTGGTTCTTGAGGTTTTCTTTGTTTGAAATGAAGACATTTTTCTTTGGTGAATTGAAAAAGTTTGTGAGTGACATATTGATATTTTGTGTGTGCAAATTGTTGAGAGTGTGGCTTGATTTATAGTAGGCTTAGTAGTTGAATGGTAGTTTCACATTTTAATTTTTTTTATTAAAAAATGTTTTTTTTAATGAAAGTTGGTGTAAGTTGTTGAAATTAAATTCGACACATTGAATTCAATCAAGGGAGTAAGCGATCCGGTCAACCCCCAATCCCACCAATCAAATTCGTTCCTCGTCATCTCTCTCTTCTCACCAAAAGTTTAGTGCGTCTCATGTTGCAACCCCCCTAGCAAGCGCTAGGGGCGGTGTTCTAGCGAGGCTGGCGAGGCAAGTGGTCAGTGTCACTCCGCTTAGTCTAACTAACTAAGTCAACAAAGGAGTTGAACACATATTCAAATACGATGTGGGTTTGCAAAAGCTACATGTTGATTAGACTTTAGGGAAAGTGAAGTGTTGCTCGCAATGAGTTTTTGATCAAAATGGTGTTTTTTAAAAAAATATTTACAATATAGGGATAGTTTTAAAAATATTTATCAATTGGGTGTAGTTTCAACATTTAATATATATTTTAAAATTCTCAGTTTTTAACAATTTTTACTGTTTTTTAATATAATGTTTTTGGTGTTTTTTTCTATAACTTTTTGCTATTGATGTTGCTTACTTTTAATCTGTACCAATAATCCATATTTCAAATTCTAAACCGGTTTGACCAAATTTAGCTTTTAACCATGCACACTCCTAGTTCTTCCATGCAACTCATAGTATGAAATTTGGAAAAAAAAAAAAAAGTCCCAAAAACAAATAATTATAACAACCAAAAATAATATTACAAAAAGCGGCCTCGTATACAATATAATAAGCACATGTAACAAGACTAACCAATCCAACAAACCCAAAAAATAATATAACAAAGGGGTATTTGAATCATGTGTTAGTGGCAATTGCTTAGCATCCCCATTATCATAGGCCTTGGTGCTCTTCGCAGACTCCCTTCTTAATACAACAATCCATGTAAATACTTATAAAACGAAAGCAATATCACCCAAAACAGAGATCAAAATAATATAGGTGTCCATTTACTTGCAGGTGACAATATTTCAAGACCCTTGAACAAATTCAATATACCAAGAACAACACAAAAAATAACATCGCTTATATGACATTAGAATCCATCTACCAAAAACAACATCAAAAAACAGAAATACAGCACCAATTAGTATGCTTTTCAAATAACAGAAACAAATTCTTTGTATGATTGTATCTGTGGGGATCAAGAGCCACAACTTGACTGATTCTTTATTTTGTGTATCTAGGAATCTACTTTTTTAAGTATTACCTAAACATAAAACACAGAGCAAAAAGCTGAATTTTAACTCAATTTATGGATGTGATATAATCAGAGCACCACAGTAGCTGAAAAACTCGAAATCACCACAGATTCAATGAAAAAAAAATCAAAATTACCACAAATAGGTGGAATCAAGTGAGAAGCTGGTAGAATGAAGATGAAAGTTCGAAAATATGTATTCAAGAAACCCATACAATGCCAAAATTGAAGATGGAAGTTCAAAAATTGAAGTTGAGATGGAGTTAAAAACGAACCTGAGACGAAATCGCTGGCTGGAGAAGTGGACAGAGGGGGAGTCGCCGCCGACTGGACGGAGGCGGAATCCCCAGCTGGAACTGTGGCCGGAGATGAAGGTGCGACCAGAGATGGAAGACGATAGCCGATAGTGTCGTATTTCTTTCCCGTTGTAACTTGAGTCGTTCAGTAAGAACGAGTTTTAGGGCACAATATTTCTTTTATTATTTTATTACTATTAAATAGCAAAATCACCTTATATGGTAAATAACTTTAAAAGTATACTTATATGGTAAATAAGTTTTTAAAAAACACTCATTTGGTCAAAAACTCTACTCTCAATACCCCGAGAGTTTTGGGCATGTGTTTAGTAGGCTCTAATGGGAAGCACTCGGCAAATCCTGGACTCGGCAAACTTAGTGCCATGTAAGTCCCCAAAATGTGCTTGTGTATCAATCAGATCCGTTTGATGGTGCGGAATCTCAATCAAACGGATGATGTCAAATCAAATAGAAGAGAATGAGAAGAAGAAGATGATGAATCTTGTATGTATTGATATGATTGAAGATCCGGATACAAGATTCACACACACTAACACACACTCTCTTTTCTCTCTCTTTCTCTCTCTAGAACACCTTGAGTTTCACACACTTAAGCTCTTCTAGTGTTCATCACTCTACTCCTCACCCCTTACACCTATATTTATACATAAGAAACATGGGCTTGGTGAACATGGGACGTAAATGGGTTTATGGCCGTAAACCTGTTTACGGCCGTAAACACAACCGTAAACACGTATACGACCGTAAACACCAAGTTGTTTACAGTCCAAAACACAAAAATACATTTTCCTAGAAAAGCAAAGTATAAACCATATTTTTGACCCAACATGACACAAACTCGTCATGCCTAAGTTCGGTGGCCAAACTCGGTGGGTTTCTGCCGAGCTACTCCTCTCTCTTCTCCTTTCTTCTTCCCCACTTAGCAACCTCTTCTTCCCACCTCCATTTGTTTGGCATTACAAAGAAAAAAAAGTGTTTGGCTGAGGTGGAGCTCGGTGCACTCGCACCACTCCCCCAGCCTTATAGATGAATTACTCTCTCAACTTGTGAGACATCTGGAACAAGATATGATCAACTTGGAAAACACTCATGTTAAATGTGTCTTTATGATATATGCATAAATTCAAAGACAAAAGATCTCCAGAGTTACTCAAAACATCACCACAACAAGATTTCACTATTTAGAAACCAATAAAAAATCTTGAATTTCAATTTCTGCAGAAATAGCAAACAAAAAGGCACCGCGTTTCTAACAGAAATTAGATGAAAGTAACCCTTTTCAATAAAGCAAAATGATGTGTGCAACTCAAAAAGATCACAAAATTACCAAAAACATAGAAGCAATAACAACTTTGCATAACTGACGATGAATCTGGATCACCAACAGAGATTCAATCACTGTAATCAGGAAACAGGTCCACATCCCTAGAAGAAAGCCCGTAATCATCATAATCAAAGTCTTGAATTTCAAGAAAAAACTTAAAATCTTTGATCCTTTCCATGCAGAGACTTCTTAAATTCTCATCAAGATTAAGGTCATAACACATACGAACGGATAGAACTTCAAGGTGTGGGCATCCATTAAGAATGGCCTGGAGTCCGATGTTTGTCATATCCATATCAAACAGCTTCAAACGGCGTAACTCAGGCAAATTATTCGCAATGGCAAGAGCATTGTCATCACAGTTGATGAATGTCCTGATGAACTCTGTGCTCACCATGAAGGACTTGAGCTGAGGGCAATTCTGTCCGATAACTTCAATGTTTTGTGTGTTGATGGAGATGCTAGAAATATAAAGTTTCTCCAGCTGTGGTGCCCTTTTGACTGCCTGACTCAACCCACTGCCCGTGATATCATAGCAGCTCGAAAGGAAAAGACAATCCAGCTTACTTGAGCAAGAGCCACAGAAAAGAAATATACTTTTAGTACTTTAAAACTACTAAAACCAAATACAACTCTTGTAAAACCAACATCAATAGCTGTCGATCTACACTAACAAAATAAAACAAGAGGATCAACTAAATGCATTTTAAAATAAAAAATGAAACAAATTAAAAATAGTATTAATATTTAATATTAGTTAAATGATAACTAAATTCGATTAATAGAAGACTATTGTGACCATCAAAAGATGAACAAAGTTTAAAACCACAACCTTACTATTTGTGGTATTTTGAGGAAGTAATAACACATTTTACTCGGATTTAGTGGGTTAATATCATATTGTCAAAATTTTAAAAGAAAAATGGTTGCAATCAAGTGCTTGTTCATTTCTTATAGTCCCCGTGTCAGGAATATTAGACACATATAGTCTATACAAACATAACAGTAACACAATCCCCAAAAACGTAGATGATAATTTTTCTAAGAATATTCACACTCCTTAAACTGTTTTTAAGCATAGAAGTGTAAACTAGGAAAGGATAAATGTCTATATTTTCCACAAATGATGGTGCGTATGTGTGCAGGATAAGTATAAAATTGGATAGCGATGGGAAGGGGAAGAAACGTACCGTAGCACAACGTAATTAAGGAGTTCGTCGGTCCCAAACCCCTTGATACTGATACCGATCAGTTCCCCACAGCTGAGATCGACTGCCTGCTTAGTCAGCCTCTCGAAATGGTAATCCCCTTCCCAATCATCAACCGATTTGTGCATAAAGATAACCTTCCACATCTCGGGTTTACTGCAAATTTTCCGCCAAGTTGTACATACTTTCCGAGCGCTGTTGAGTATTTCTGCAGCAAACAATCGTTGAAGAATATTTGCCATCAGCTCGTCAGGCATTTCCAGCCAATTCGGAGATTTCTCCATAGCTGAGGACTGCTCTGCGGCGGAGGTGGACGCCTTTTTAACCAGGAAATCCGATGATTTTACCGATTTGTTTTCCCCAAGCGACGTTTCGGTTATCGAAAATTTTTTTAAGTTGTCCCTGGACTTTGGTAGACTTTGGGTCAATAGTTTTTATATTAATGTTATTTTAGAGGAAAAACATAAATATTCTTTTTGAAACATTTTATTTTAATATTGATGAAAAGATTAACAATAATACATAAGTTTTAATTCAATTTTAATAAAGAAAAGTATACGTAGGAGTGATCACATGACTATCGTTATTTTGGATGTGCCAGCTTTTGAACCATTAACCTACTTAGACTTGGTCTATACGGTGGACAACACGGGCAACGATACATGATCCATCTCTTGCAGGAGCCCAAAATTTTAGTCCATGTTATGTACTTATATTATCTAATTATTCTTTTTGTTTAACAAAAGAGTTTTATGGGCCCAAATCATCACATATTGTATTGTATGACATGATTTATTTATTTTTTTGCTTTGAAGAATTAGATCATCAACATGAAGATCAATAACTAAAGAATGAATATACTGTATCAAAATCGAAAAAAAAAAAGTTAAAAAAGTTGTCGAATGAGGAAAAGGATATGAAATGGTCAAATATTCTCCTTATAACTCTATGGATACCACATTCCACCCTCTTGAATGTTCTCAGTCCCAAGGATCTTAATGGAAAGAAATAAATGATTTTTGTTTTTAAAGGTTTAATCAATCTCAAAATTCTCACCTCTAGCTTTCATTCTCCTAAGAGGGGTTCAATTTTATGATATTTGTTTGTTTTATATCTCCATTTTGATTACATTATCCAAGGTTTATAATAGTTTCTAGATTATATTATATGTAGATTAATTTGAACTAGGAAAAGGCCCGTGCGTTGCACGGGTCATTCTTTTTAGAAAAAAATAAAATAAAGGGTAGAAGAATATAATGACGAAAATTACAAAGAATAAAGAAAATTGATTGAATTTGGAAACTTTTTAGAAAATATGTGACAAAAGTCTGAATGTTAAAAAGTTCGGGTTGATAATAGAAGAAAAAAAGTATCAAAATAGAATAATGTTGAAAAATAGGACTGTAAATGGACTAAAGAAACGGAGCACTTTTGAGAAAAAAAAACATCTAAGAAAAGTCACAACTGAATCTTTTTAGGAAAAAAATGATAGAAGAATACGGTAGACAAAAATGATAAAAAATAAAGAAAAATGGTTGTAAATAAATAAAAGTGTAAGTTTAGTGACAAAAATATAAAGAATTAAAAATAAAGTGGCAAAATTATAAGGAGGAAAAGTTTGTTGAAACTTTAGTGGCAAAATTATAAAGAAGTAAAGAAAAAGGGTTGTAAATAAGTAAAAGTGAAAGTTTAATGACAAAAATATAAAGAATTAAAAATAAAGTGACAAAATTATAAAGAGGAAAAGTTTGTTGAAACTTTAGTGACAAAATTATAAAAAGTAATAGTAAAGTGGTAAAATTATAAATCCCCAGCATTGACCAAGGGCCAAACTGCCAATTTGAAAAATTTATGTGGCAAAAATATGAAGTAGCAGAATAAAGTGGCAAAAATCAGAATAAGGAAAAATGTACTGTTGAAACATCCATGAGCTTTAATATATATATATATATATATATATATATATATATATATATATATATATATATATATATGTATATATGTGATTTTGTTTACATCATCATTTTGTTTTTCAATTTGGTTATTCTTCGCCGATTTAGAAAGTTTGTTTGTATTAATTGATAGTTGGTAATTTCAGTTTGTTTGTATTAATTGATAGTTGGTAATTTCTCATTTTGTAAGTTGTATGAATTATAAAATGAGTTTGACTTTTTTTTATTTGCATGTATTTTTATTTAACTTTAAATTTGTTGTTTTTTTATTTGTTGTTATTATAGTTATTCTGAAGTTTCAAGGGAAAAGGTTGAAAAATGAAAAACTTCGTACAACTTTAGTGATAAGGTGTTAGTGTTATGTTGCTACTTGCTAGTTATCTTTGATATTGTTATTAGTGATTTTACATCTAAAATTGTAAAAAGTATTTTTCATGATTTAATGGATTTTTAAATTTTGCTTCTTTATGGGTCCTTATTCTTTACAATATGTTTAGACTGCCCCTGAACATACTTTATGAAATTTCGCACCTTAACCATATGCTTTCGAAAAAATGAATATGTTAACTTAATATAAGATCATTAGGTATGGGCACCACAACCATGGTCAAGGTTTCCTTCCACCTCAGCAAAGAACATCACCACATATGGTGCAGGTATACTCTCTACCGTGAAGAAGAGAAAGAGAGAAAAAGGCTTAAAGAGAAGAAGAAAGATTATTTAGGTATGAACACTCCTCTTATCCTCCATACTTGGAAGGTAAAGGATCCCATCGTTGTGCAATTAAAGTTTTAAACCATTCTAAATTTGTCAACTTGGGTCCTGAAAACTAAGCTATAGCATTACAGGAACCAAAAACAAAACTACAGACACAGCGAGATAACCAATGGCTGGGTTGCATACAAAATTCTTCCACGGTCAGAAATTCTAAGATGAATCCCACATTTTTATATTGAGTCGTGCTTAAAATCTTTGATACGTTCCATGCAGAGTTTTCCTACTTTCCCACCAAGATAAAGATTACGACAATTACGAATATCTAGAGATTGAAGGTGAGGACAGCCGTTAAGAATGGCTTTCAGTCCATTATTTGTCATCGCATCATCAGACAGCTTCAAATGGCGTAACTCAGGCATGTTATTTGCAATGGCAAAGGCATGATTGTCACAGTTGAAGAATATCAGTCCAGATCTGGGGACGCTGAGGATGAAGGACTTGAGTTTAGGGCAATTCTGTCCAATAACTTCAATATCTTTTCCTTTCATACAGGTATAAATAAGGACTAGTTTCTCGAGTTGTGGTACCCTTTTAACTGCCCTAATCAACCCACTGCCTGTGACACAAACCAAACCGCACATGTAAATGCAGTTAATAAGGTGAAGACATTTAAGCTTACTTGCCCTGTTCACAAAATAAAAATAAAAATAATAATAATAATAATAATAAAAAAACATATATTTTCATTAATATGACACTAGTAATTGAATTGAAACCAAATTTGACAACAAAGTAAATGCTGTGAAAGTAAATCATACATTCATACCCCTATATATAAAAGTTTTTGTATAGATAGTTTTAATGAAATTATTAAAATATGATAAAACCTACATATCCATGGCTTCACTCGCGAACGGCAGTGATAATGTCATTTACGGATATATTAATTATTAAGTTTATTAAAACATAATTAACATCATTTAGCATAAAAATGTATCACTAAGTTAACAAAACATACCAATAGGATCACCAAATTGATTTCACAATAATCAACAAAACAGTTTACAACACTATTAGCATTAATCAAGTGATAACATGTTATCAACTGAGAATTAATCAACATTAACAACATAACCCTTGGCATCAAATCATGGAAAACTATTGAGACCATCCCAAGATGAAGAAATTCAACACCCCAATCTTACTATAAGTTGGTATTTATTGTAGGGTTTGATAAAGTTATCATAACTCAACGCATTAAACCTTATATTGTCAAAAATCAACCAATTTGGGGCAAGTAGCAACCAATATTCTTCTTCTGAAGAGCGTGTTCAATTCTATTATAGTCCGCATCCTGTAGCCAAATCAATATTCTATAAAACGAATAACACAAGCCATGAAACGTATATGATAAACTTGTACCAAATTTCGTATTTTGGATTTTTTTTTTTTAAAAAGGATAAATGCCGATTTTCCATGATTGATGAGGCATATATTGCAGGAAGAGTATGAAATCAAACAAAGATGGTAAGGGAAAGAAATGTACCGCAGCACAATGTGATCAAGGAGCTCATCGTTACCAAACCCTAAGATACTGATATCGATCAATTCCCCACAGCTGAGATCAACTGCTTTCTTAGTAAGCGTCTTGAGAATGTCCTATGTATCCCATTTATCCTGACTATTATACGATTTGTGCACAACGATGACCTTCCACATGGCCGGATCGTTGCAAATTCTCCGCCAAGTTGTGCATACTTTCCGTGAGCTCTTGAGGATTTCTACGGTACCCAGTCTTTGAAGTATCTTTGCCATCAGTTCGTCGGGCATTTCCAGCCAATTTGGAAATTCCTTCGTTTCCGACGATCGCTTTGCGGTGGAGATCGACGCCATTTCAACAACGAAGTACAGTTTGTGTGTTCTACATATACGATCGAGTAAAACAAATTACATGTTTATTTTAGGCCGGAGAGAGTCACAAACCGCTTTTTTACCACACAAAAATGAGGTTCCTTGAAGGTGTCATATTTTTTTTTTAATAATTTAATTTAAATAAACTTCATTTTTAATAAAAGAAGCATAAAATTTCATTACTTCAAAATAAAAAAGCATTACATTGCATTATTTAAAATTTAAAAAAAAATAATAAATAACATGAAATTTAAAAAAAAAAATCCTCAAACTTAAAATTAAATAAAAAAAAAACATGAAACAATTAAAATAACTTAAATGAAAACACAAATAAAATAAATAAAACGTACTACATAAAGTCGTCCTCTGATAAATCGTTTTCCGGGTCATCCGGGGGATCCAAAATGTGTTCCACCAAGTCCATGTGAAGATTGTGAAAGTTTTTAGTGCTACGTACCTCTGCTCTTCTATCCATGTACTCATCGCTATCAATTTCTATTGGTTGTGTCTTGGGGATGGTTTCCTGCTCGTCATATACGCATAACGCTCTTCCTTCCAAGGGCGGATGCAATACATTGGAAGTGGGGGCAAATGCCCCCAACGATCTCAAAAGTTATACATAAAATATAGGCAAGATTTGGATAAAAAATAGTTAAATTAATAAATGTGCCCTCAATAACATTTGGACCTAGTTCTTTAAATTAGAGAATATAGGGGCATGTAGGTCGTAGCTCGCTTTCTTATTTAAATCATGTATTACAGTAGTACTGTATTAGGCATTTAGGCTTAGCAAAATTAATTTAAATAAACAAACTCAATTTGTGTGTTTTGATATCGTGGAAAAACAGCAACAGTAAACGCTTTTGAGTTTTGAAAACATTTTTTCAAATTTTCTATCTTTCACCTTAATCATTAGTTAATGTCATAAAAAGATAACAAACTATTTAAAATGTTTTAAAACACCATTCAACTAAAAAAATATCATCAACAGGTAACGAACTATTAAAACATTTTACTAAAATACCATTCTAACAATGATAATTTTTTTTTAAAAAGGCAATAGATCGTTACCTTCTAATGACTTTTTATTTCATTGGATGGTGTTCTAAACATTTTAGATAGTTGTTACATTATCCCTTTTATTAATTCCAAACACCAAATGAAATTGTAATTGATTATTTTCAAGATATGATAAGTGGAGGACAATTATAATTAATATGTACTTTAATATTTTCTTTTGTAATGTCACAAAAAAAAATTGTTACCCGTATTTTAAACCGTTTTGACCTGACCCGACAAAAAAAATTATATATTTTTGTGCCCCCATCAAATCTAAATCTTAGATCCGTCATTGCTTCCTTCGTCTCCAAAAATCATATTAGCAAATATGATACATGCATACATGATTTCTTAAAGTTTTTCCTCGGCGAAATAAATTGTTGGTTTTTTCAATATGTACCAACGTTTCTTAAGAGCTCCAAAAGCCCGCTCGACATCCTTCATAGCTCATTCTTAAGCTCTCCTGAATTTTTTTCATATAGAATCATGTGGACACATAAGCAATTTAACAAACACAACATACTCGTGATAGATCCAATTAACAAGATAATAACCATACTTATATGGTGTTCCATGCACTTTAAAAGAAAATTTCGGTGCAGATCTGTCATATATGTTGTTAAATATAGGTGAACAATTAAGAACGTTGTTGTCATTAATCGAACTGGGAGAACCAAAAACAACATGCCAAATCCACAGATCCTGTGACGCCACCGTTTCAAGTATGACCGTTGGGTGACCATGATCACCTTCGGTAAATTGACCATGGTGTGAGGTAGGGCAATTTTCTCATGTTCAATGAAGACAATCTAAACTTACTATCATTCTAGGTAACCATGTATGCTAGCATGATGAGCTTGCAATTGTAAGATGTCATTGTGTGTAGGCTTACGTATATATTTTGGAGCATAAAACTCAATCACGGTTTTGAAAAAAAATGGAGATTATCTCGTGTGGTCCTAGCGGACATCCTAAAACTCTCATCCAACGCATCCGGTGTGATGTGATATGCTAATTGACGAACTGTGGATGTGCATTTCTGTAAGGAAGTGAAACCGGGTGTACCTCTAGCATCAGGACGTTGCTGGAAAAAACTATACTCCCTCGCTAAATCTTCGATATACATTCATATAAATGTTTGAACATTCTGAAGTGCCTTCGAAAGTAGTACCCTTGAAAAGTGTCATTCTCGTGAAAGTAGTCTTATATCAAACGTTGGTTGGCTTCTTCATGGTTTCTATAAATATATCTTCATGTTCTCTGTTGAGAACTTTTGGCTGCGTTATTGCATAATCTGTCATACGTTTGTTCCACCATTTGAGCACAAGCGACAACAGCATCAAAAATAATCTGAAATTCCTCAGAAGACGAAGATAATGACATTTTCTACTAATTTTGAGACAAAAAACAATAGAAAGATATAAAAATTTTGTTTTTGTTTGAAGAAATAAGGGTAAGAGGTATATATATATATATATATATATATAATATATATATATATATATATATATATATGGGGTTAGGAAATATGTGACTCTCATGTATGTCAGCTTATATATAGAACCCTCCAAAATACATTGTTTTAATTTGGATATATCCAAACGAATCATGATACGGTGGTTATTATTCTTCGTAAACACACATGCCTTACTAAATTCATCGAATCTATGTTATTTTTTTAATGTGTTTATGAACCTAAAACATTGAAAGCAATGACCATTTACGAAAGCCAACTAATTTTTAAATGTAAAATAATAGAATATTAGTAAAAAAGAACATATAGACAATCCGAACAATGTTTTCACACATTCATTGGATATAGTTTTTCAATTAAATGACAAAATCTTTTGAGTTGTAATTGTTAATAAGTATTGTTTTTTTTTTCAATAGAAACTTCGCTAGATTTTTGCAACAAAAAACTATATAATTGAACTCTTTTATTACATAATTTAATTTAATTTAATTCAATTGTAATCTATTAAAACAAAATTTAGAGAAAATGAAATTGGATTTATTTTGCTTAAAACTACATCATTTAAAAGGTTTATACCTAACTTTGAGCATTCAACGGTCCTTTTTTATCCAAACCAAACACAAATCGCGACAAAAAGAGGGAGATGTGCGGCCAAACCGCACCCAATACCGCATAAGGGGCAGTGTTCCCCTGTCTATGTGGCAGTGAGTGCGGCCAAACCGCATACGACTCCCACAAGTCTTAAGGGTTAAGTGGAATTGGCCGACCAATTCTTTATAGAGATATTTACAAAAACGGAAATTGAGTAAACCAATCATTTTTTGTTGTATTTCTTAAAAAAAAATAACCCACCTAAATAAAATTTTACAAAATAACCCTTTTCTCCGGAATGGGCCATTCCGAAACAAAATTTGGACTCTTTTGACTATTGGGTCGGCCCATTACTATTAATCCGAATGAGCTCTTCCGGAGTATCTGTACATATTTCGGGTATCCGACCCGACCGCCCCGCTTTGTGGTCCCACCTATAAATATGAGTTTAAAGGTGTAAAAGTACATAAAAATCAAAAGCTAAAAGCTTTCAATAGCTACTTGAATTAGCTTTTTGATTATGAGTTTTTGGTTTAAAATAAAAACGAAAAGCTCATACCATAAAACATAAAACAGAGTTTCTTTTTTCTTAAAATCTAAAAGCTCCTAAAAACTTTGTGTCAGACACGTCCTTATCTTATTTCTATTGGAGAACTGTGAATAACGTAAATTGTCCCTAAACTTTTGTGTGCTTTAGGTCATTTGAGAAAAACAAATTATGATATTAGCCACAACCAAGATTTACATTTTCTAAAATGGCCACCAACCATTATGATATGCTAACATCTCCAACCAAAGATCATACCCAATGATATAGTAATCCTAATCATCCGCTTCAGAAGATTCATCAACATCGGACCCAGAGGAATACATATACATATCATCAGAATCATCATCAGAGTTTTGTGTTGAGTTGTGCTTAAAATCTTTGATCCGTTCCATGCACTTTTTTACTAAATTCCTGTCAAGTTCAAACCTACAACACATATAAATGTCGAGGGATTGAAGGTGAGGGCATCCGTTAAGAATGGCCTCCAATCCATCATTTGTCATCTCATCACCATAAATCTGCAAATGGCGTAACTCAGGCATGTTATTTGCAATGGCAACAGCTTGATCGTCACATTGGAGGTATGGCCCTGTCCATGTGTACCTCATGTGAGATATCTTGAAGGACTTGAGCTGAGGGCAATTTCGTCCAATCACTTCGATGTCTTCTGCATTGATATGGGTGTTTGGCATAACTTTTAAACTGACTTTTCAGTTTTATCTTTTTCTAAAAGTCAAAAAGATGTTTGGTAATCCTGACTTTTCCAACTTTTTCAATAGAGTAAAGGGCATCTTTTTGAAAAGTCACGAACTTTTACAAAAAGGACTTTTTGGCTTTCAAAAGCTAAGCCAAACACCCTCATAGATGTAAGAGAATTCAAGTTCCTCCAACTGAGACAGCCTTTTCACTGCCCGACTCAACCCACTACCCGTCATCTGCTCACACCAGAGGACAGAGGTAAAGATGCTTCAACTTACTTGAGCTGGGACCCACACAAAAGAAACACATTTTTTATCAACTTAAAACTATTTGACAACAAATTAAAATATCTTTTCTATTAGCTTCAAAAAGAAGATTTAATAAAGCATCTACAACTTGGCTTTTTGAAACTTATATTAGCTTTTTTAACTACAATAACATCAAAAAATATATTTTAAGGAAATTTTAAGCCAATTTTGCCACCATAAAAACTAATCTCAAACATTTTTTTAAGAACTTTTTTGCCACTTTTACAGAAGAGAACTTTTGAAGTTCAAAAAACAATATGTTATCTGTAAATGTTTTGAAGGATTTATAGTATATTCTGAAAATTCAACCAATTTAGGCCAAGTTGCAACCATTCTTCATCTCAATGTTCCAAATAAAATATTAGACGTATGCATCCAAATTAATACTCTGTACAACACATAACAATAACACAAGCCAAAAAATGTAGATTACCAAAATTCCTACTCCATATATAAACTGTTTTTAGGCTTAGAAAAGAAACAACAGCTGTATATCTATTTTCCACAATTGATGGAGCGTTAGCGTGTGCTTCATAAGTATGAATTAAATTGAATAGCGATGGGAAAGGAAAACCTACTGTAGCGCAATATGATCGAGGAGATCATCGGTGCAAAAGCCGTCGATACTGACATCGATCAGCTCCCCACAGCTGAGATTGACTGCCTGCTTAGTCAGCATCTCGATTTTGTGATTCGTATCACAACCATCCTGCAATATGTGAATATCGATGACCTTCCACATCGCCGGATATTTGCAAATTCTCCACCAAGTTCTGCATACGTTACCTGCGCTCCTGAGTTTTTCCACGGTATCTAATCTTTGAAGTATATTTTCCATCAAATCGTAAGGCATTTCTAGCCAATTTGGAGATTCCTTCATTGCGGACGACGGACCAACGTCCAACGGCGGAGGTCGACTCCATTTTAACTCTGAGAGACGATGATTTTACCGGATCGTTTTTTTTCCTGCTAATCAAAAATCCCCTTTTCTAGGGGAAACGGGTAAATTAAAAATATAGTCCCTAACCTTTTGCGTGCTCTACAAATCCAGTCCTTTGAGAATTATTAGTTTGCGAATACGAGCCTCTTTGAAAAGAACGTATTCTATGGATTAATGTTTCCGAATTCTGACAATACATGGTTAGCAATAATCAATTAATGAAAAGGAGAAACAAATAAAATAAAATAATCAATTAATGAAAAGGACAAACAAATAAAATAAAATTTGATAATATATCTATAATATATTAAATCATCAAGGTCAAAACTTCCTTAACATGGAATATACCATTGGTATATACTTTACCTTTTTAGGGATGTGAGAACCTTACAACACAAATTGTATTTCGACATAAACCTCTCAACATTGTTATTTTCTAGATCAAATTTCACCTCTCAACATTGGTTATTTTTCTAAATCAAATTTCACCAGATAACGTAAACAAAACTCTTTCCATTTGAAATCGTTTTTTTACCCGATATCGGTACTGGGGATAGTGTTTGTTTCATAGTCAAATTTTGGTTTCTGATTGTTCCAGTACTACCCTAATATCCAAAAAAAATTGTTTTCATTCCATTATATTAAGAAACTTCTTTTGAGTATTCTCATCCGTTCACATATCCAGAAATTTCTTTACAATCCCACACCCTCACTTCAACAGACGTGGGACAAATTAGAATCATCCACTAGTCAATTTATAAGTGCGAGTACTTTTTTTCCCAATGTACTCCAGAAGATCATTGCATATTTGCTTGAATATTTCAATATACTTAAAGTTGTTTCGATAGGGTTATTTCCATTGACATTGTAAGCCACCCTTTGATCATGAGGCCACAAAGTAACAGTTTTGATTAACGTAAGTGAAAAATCATTTAGAATGCTTACCAGTTGTGATTGTTTCCACTTGGATGTGAACATTAACATTCTTGTAGAGAAATGGAACTTCAAATGAACCTTACGTAGCCAAATCAACAAACATGACAACACAAAATGAAGCCTAAATTGACATATAACCAAATTTCTAATAAATTTCAAAATTTTAAGGTTTCGTTGAACAATTTTTCACGTTATCAAAAATTCATTTTATTACAGCCATATATGTGTAATCAGAAATCTAAAGCAAGTGAAAAAAGTAATTGTTCATTTAAAGCCAATAAAAAAAATACAATATTGTGAAATTGCTTATAATTTACATGTTTGCTTATTGTCCTGGAGGTACCCGACCACTTGGACATGTACTATTATTTAATTAATTAGTGTATAATTTACATTATAGAATATGAAATTTAACAATTGCTCAAATTCATTTACACTTGATTTAACAATATAAAATGGACTAATTTATAATCATAAAAGTATGCTTAATTCAACAAATTTGTTATCAAAATTAATGGAAAACTAAGTTTCTTGAAGAAACAAATTGAATACACAAAAACGATATAAATAAAAAACAAAGAATAGATAAAAGAACATTTGAAGATCATGTCAGAAAGGTATGACCAATAAGATCTTTTTGGCACTTTTCAATATAGTGATGATTAATCTTTTCTCATCTTCAAGATGATAAGTACAAGTGAGTAGAGAAAACAAAATTATAATCATAAAAATATGCTTAATTTAACAAATTTGTTATCAAAGTTAATGGAAAATATTTTATGTTGAAATAATCAATTATTAAGTATGTAGGATATTATCACTAAGGGATTTAGAGTTTTGCATCATCCTCAAGCTTCAATACATCAACTAGTGTTCATCACTTTCAAGTATTAAACTTAATTATAGTAAATCTAATCAATAACACTATAAAAAAAGGGTATGGTTAAGAATAAATTCATACAGTTATTGAGTTAAACGGTTGGATATCGAGCAATTATAATTCAACATGTATAAGACCGATTATTACTTTCAAAACTGGAAGTATTTACTATATTAATAAGATTTAAATGCAAGGTGATTGTTTTGCTCTTGATGAATTTTGGTATCATTGATGTACACTGAGAAAGAAATAGAATAATTAAGAAGATGTATCATGTTGATTTGCAAACATATAGGATGGTCAGTGCATAAATTACGACTTTAAATTTAGGGAGGATTTGAATTTTGAATTTTGAGTTTTATTTAAAGGATAGAGGAAACTTATGAAGGTTTGAGCGGAAACATTGATGGGCAGCGTGTTTGACCAAACATTGGTCAAGATAAGTTAAGCAATATAATCTAATGGTGGAAAATGTATAAGCGAAACACAATCAAACCTCTTTATTGCTTTAGATGATGAAATAAAGTTTCCCTTTTAGATATAGAATTCAATCTTATATTTTGTAAATGTAAACTTCTTAGTCTTCGCCTCTCTCTATCATCATTGTAATGGGTTTTATTATTTAAATCTATAAAATTGTTGAATATCATTAATATCTAAAAAATAATAACATCTCAATGGTAAATGTTTACTAATACTAATATGCAAACAAAATAATAATGAATTTATCTAACTCCTCCTTGAATGTAAGAATCTCCTTAATAGGATCATTGATGAAGATCCTAGTCGTAGTGAAGCAATTTGTGACGAAGAAACGTTCTGAAATGATGCATAATGAAGTTAGTATAAATGTATATTCATTTATAGTAAAAGGAAGAGTAATATTTTGAATTTTTTTTAAGATGTAAGTTGTTAATCGAAGTAATGAACAAACCTCTATAATAAAATATTTTTCCGTACTGAATAACAACTACCATACGAGTTTGTTTGTTATTTTCCAAATAGTTAGCAAACTATTGTGCCCACCCATCCCCGAGTGTTACACTTATTTGTTTGCTTCTACAAAAACCAAACAAAATATAATACATATACAATATAAAATGACATTATAAAGTAAAATTTGACACAAAATTTTGAAAAGTAAACATACTCTAGATCTTCCAAGCTCAAATTGACTCTCTTTGATAATTTATTTTTCTTGTTCATAAGGGTTTCCATTAGGAAGCATCTCACAACATCTCCAATAATATCTATTATATAAGATAAAAAATGGAAGATTAGTATAAAATTTTCGGTATGGTGAGTGATGGTAATAACATAATTAATATTGTTATATAAATCGTTAGATTGTAACATATAAACTAACCGACATGTGTGATCTCAACAAAGGCACAATCCAAAATGGCGTTGAAGTTTGCAAAAGAAAATCCATAAAATGATCTAGTCCACTCATTGCATAGTGTAACTTTGGTTGTGATATAAATATGAGAAATTAAATATCCTCCTACCTTTTATTTCTACTTATCTTCCTACCATATCAAATGTTGACATGTGTCACATTTAATGACACATTTAATGAAATTGATAATATTTTAGTCCACTTGTCACCATTTAATGTGGGTCAGAGGATAGTAGGACTAAAATGTAGGAGGATATTTAATTTTTCTATAAATATTGATTTTGTTTTCACTATCAACAAAACTAATTTTGTTTTGACTAAGACCAAGGTGTAGATTTTGGATGTAGTAACAACCATCCTCATGAAGCAAACTTTCAAATATTTCAACCCATTTGTTAGTAACATTTGCCTCAATCTTCCTTCCCTAAATGCACAAAAAACCAGTTTATATAGTGTTATATGTGGTTAGAATGAAATTGTAAGAAAATTCATAAATAAATAAAAATGTTATTACCTGTTCATCAATGAGAATCATATCAATTTTGTAAGTCTTTGTTGAAGATCCATAAGCAAGATGTTTAATGAGATGAATTATTCTTACTCTCATGGTAAATTGACTTTTTGAAACATCAAGTTGGTCTATGAAGGTAATGTTGCTTTGAGCTATGTTTCTGTTTGTGAAAAAACTAATGATTGTTAAACACATGTGACTCGACTAAGTAATATAGACCGGATAAAATAGGCAAAACATGAACAATTCAAAATCATAAGGTCAAAGTGAAAATATAGTTTTGAGGACGGAATTTGTAACTTTTGGCATAACTTAAGGATGTCGAATGTAATTTAGTCTAAAACATATAATGTAGAAAGTCTTTTGTATGTAATCAAAATCAAAATTATAAAAATAAAATAAAATTTTTATCATCTATGTATGAATGATGTTATATACTTTTAACAAACCTCATAATGCAAACATGACAATAAAGTAAGTATAAACAGTTTTTGCCGATGCTCATTAAAAAACATATCAACAAGTATATATCATTACTCGTTTACTGTGACACCCTTCAAATCTGAGTATTTTTATTAAAATATATATTTGCAAAAACAGTTTAAAACAACAATGTACTTTCACAGTATATTGTTGTAATTTGTAAAATATATATTTTTTAATGGACAACAATATATAGCAATATAAATTATTTTTTAAAGAAATTTTCTATCTAATAAAAAGTTTGTATTTACATATAAGTCATCAAAAAATTCATAGATTCGTAATTTTGACTTTTATACTTTAAAAAACCTGACTATGTAGTTTTAACTTTTTTATATTTTACACAAACAGTTTAAAACAACCATGTACTTTCAAATTACATTGTTGTAATTTAAAAAATATTTCTTTTAAATGGACAGAAACTATATAGCAATATAAATTATTTTTTATGTTGATATAGATAGTACACTTCAACATCCAAAATGACCATACTGCCCTTGTATACTATTATATTCACAATTTTAAATGAGTAACATATTAAAGAAAAAAATGTAGCAGTAGAAGGGGCAACAGTGATAGGGGTAAGGGTATTTCAGGTAAAGAGAACGCATACATAAATGTTGTTTTGCCCTCATTCATCATGGAAATCGTATTCAATGTAGAGGAATATTTTTTATGTGGTGTATAGAAATATATCAGCTCCATTCATTGATATATACGATTGCTTTGAT